AAAAGAAAAAGAAAAAGAAAAGGAACGGCTAATAAATGCACAACAAGAAGAAAAAAAGGAAGCAAATAAATGAGTAACACAGAGAAAAGCGATGACGATTTATTGGTTATTCAAAATAATATCTCTATACATGAAAACGTAGGATTATTCTAATGTAAATAAACTATAAATGACTGAAAAAAGTACTACTTCCATTGATGTCTTTTTATTTCTTATTTTATGTACTGAAACTATTGAAAAAAACTTTTATGAGAAACAGAATTCTGACAAAATTCTGCTGGGAAATGTTGAATTCTGCTTAGAATTCTGCTTTCTACCCAAGGTAGTGTGTGTACACAATAACACAGAATTCTGCAGGGGAAACAGAATTCTGACAAAATTCTGCTGGGAAATGTTGAATTCTGCTTAGAATTCTGCTTTCTACCCACGGTAGTGTGTGTATACAGTAACACAGAATTCTGCAGGGGAAACAGAATTCTCTGTTGGTAGTGCGCAATGTGTCTTTAAGTCATATAGGTATTATTCTTACAGAATTCTGCTGGTGGTTCTTGGGAGAATTCTGCCACCCCTCAAGCAAATAGGCAATGACTTAATTATATGTTTTGGAAATCAGGGTAGATTTTTTAGATGAACTATATTGAATTATTTTAGTAAGCCAAAGGGATATATGTGAGTTCCACATTTTAGCCCCAAAGAGGCTGCGCTTACAAGCTTTTTAAGAAAAGCTGGGCAGATGCATCTTGATATTTTTCAAGCACCAAATATCAAAAGAGTTTTTGAAGTGGTTGAAGGTTGTCCATTTTTTGTTGGCATATTTAGTTAAATCAGCTTGTGAAATAGATTCTAAATTATGAGCTGATATGCAATATTTTTTACAGAGCATAATTTTGAAGATAGATAACATCTTTTGTTGATTTTGTCCATTGATATAACAAGAAGTTCATAAATTTAAACATATTGTTGGTTCTACAGTAAAACGTTTTGCATTTGTTAAAGATGGATCCCGTTCAATTGATCAATTATTAATTATATTTGAAGTTAGTACTAAAACTCTTGATAGAACATGCCGTTCTCTAAATTTACCATTTAATTACTCAGTACACAGTTAGTTTTAGCATAGTAAATAGTTTGAAAAGTTCAGTAATTTAACTTTGTTAGTCACATCAGTTTTTATTATCTTCACCAAATTCAAAATATTCATATATGCAGAAGAAGAAACGACATATGCGAATAATCTCTTACTAGTCGATAAGAAATTGTTAAATGAAAGGAGCCCACCTTTTGAATCCATTAGATTTTGAAAGTCTTGCTGACTGAGCCCTTGACCACGATAAACTGTAAAAGATTTCTTGAAACTTGCCGATTGCTCCTTATGCAATTGTTCCAGTTCCAGATGCAGTTTTCGAATGAAAAATCCTAATTTGGACATCGCTTCCATATCAAGCGATCTTAACCCACGATTAAGCATACCATAGAGAAAAATCTCTTTGGTATACCACCAGACTGCTGATTCCTGGTGGTAGTTACGCTTAAATTCATTTATTTCTTGTTCAGGAATGCCCTTTTCTCGGCAAAATCTCACTAAGGTGTTCACAGATTTTTTGTCATCATCATCGATTTCTAGGATGATATCCTTGAAAATCACCGAATACATGTATGATGCCGGTAATTGATCAAGATTGTCTTGGTCCGATCCTGTTGCTCCTCCTGTCATCGCTTGCTTCGGAACGAAGCTCATCGGAATTGAATCATGAGCGCACTGATGGGCGACCTTTTTCAGTGATTCGCATATTGGCTTGATTGAGGTGAATACACCTCGAATCTTTGGCCAATCTTTCGCCCATGGTTCATGACACACTTTATTGTCGCAAAAAATATAAATGGCGTCCACTTCTGGCATGCCGTGAATGTCATGTACGAGGCTTTTCCCTAATGCACCAGAGGAAATAACGAAAGCTCTTCTGTCATCCATCTCATTAAGGAATTCGACGCATCTTTCGGGTGTTGTGCAAATATTCACTTCACTTACCACTGCGCGTAATTGTGCCAGCGTATCCCGGCAGTCTTTAGTGTTTTCATCGATGTTCTGATCGACCCAAATAAGTAAATAATTTTGAGTCATGCAGCGTTTTGTCTGCCTACTATTTAATGAAACTATAGTATTGGTTGTGATATCCTGTCTTCCTGAAGAAGCTGTTGATTCAGAGTTTTGTCTATCCATATTTCTTTCGTTGACAGGAGATCCATCGACAGAATGAGTTATTTTCGTCCGTCCGTCTGTTCGTTGGCTCCCTCTTCCGGTCGTTTGCTCATGACTTTGATCACCTGTTTGTCTGTTCGTTGGGGTATTCGTATGTTCTCTCATGCGTTGATTCGTTGATGTGTGCATTCGTTCACTACAGAACGATAAGAATAAATATTATTCATATTAGAATTTAAGCGAAATAAAATCGTCTCAGCCCATGCAAAAATTGAGATTCAGTGTAATCACTATTAATTACGTTCTGTTGCGAAGCATAAAACGGGAAAGTCACTGATAAGCGAACTTTGTTTTGAGTAATTTTGAGTATACTTATAAGTAGAACGCCCTTTTTGTTACTTCTTATAGTAATAGGCAATACGTTTTACTTTTAAATATATTCAGCTGTACTACAAAAGTTTCAGTTATTAGTAACTTTCTCTACTTTACGCAGTGGCACAAGAAGTAATTAACAGTGACTGATTTGGATCTCAACTACACTGAAAACAAAAACGGTACGACACCGAACCCAAAAGGGAGCTTTGAACTAAAAGAAGGTTTCGTAGACAGAACTACGAAACACTTGAAAAAGTATTATAAGTCTATGACGACTATTTTCAGGCAAACGAAGTTCTTACGAAACCTTTTGAGGATTCCTTTTTCATTTCTAAAATGAATCAATGCACTAGAAAAAAGATTAGTATGACTACCAAACTCTTTTTAAAATGAATACGGAACCGTCAAAAAAGTTTCGTAAAAACTTCAGTTGCCTGAAAATAGTAGTCATAGGCTTAGAATATTTTTTCAAGTGTTTCGTGGTTCTATCGAGGAAACCTAAAAGGGTTCAGAGAATTGAAACGAAATTGAAATCCTTTTAGTTTCCGCACTGTGTGCGAAATCGTTTTTTTGCCCAAAACATCCCTTTGGGTTCGGTGTGGTACCTTTTTTATTTTCAGCGTAGTGATCAGGGGAGTCGCATTTTTTGATTCTGGAACCCGATCGAAGTCCAAAATTTCTTTTTTTGATTTCGGTTCCAATTCTGACTTTGGTTGGTTATCATTTGCCACAAATTGAAATCCCCAGATACATCTCTACATCATATTCACACTTGTGGAGGATAAAACAAATATGTCCTATTCTCGTGACCAAATAATGATTTTGATTTAGGAATTTTCCAATTTAGGGATTTTTTTTATGCACAATATGCTGTTTAAGTCATAACCGACCAGGGTCTCAGTTAGGGATGCATTTGTACCAGTATACTAGGTACTGGTAACCAGAATCAGCTCTCTGATTTTCTGATAAGCAGCACTACTTCTCGAAATGCTTCTAATAAAAATTGAATATGTACTATTCTGGTAACCAGAACGTAGTTATTATACTATGGTTAGCGCTAAAGTACTTAGGTTCAATGGTAAAATATTTTTGGTGGAAGATGGTGTTTATTCATGACCTATAAGCCATGTCATAATTGAAAAAAATCCCTAAGTTGAAAAATCCCTAAATGAAAATCCCTATTTGGTCACTAGAATTGCCCATATTTGTTTTATTCTCCACAAGTATGGATATGATATAAATTAGTGATGTATCTCGGGATTTCAATTTGTAGTAAATGATAGTCATTCCTGACTTCGACCGAAACCCTTTCCGCAGTCCGATGCAGTACATTAATCTCAACATTCAGATGAGCACTGAAACTTTCATAGTAGTTTTTAATACTAGGTCTGCAATGACAATATCGAATACTAACACTTTCATATTACCTTTTATCACTTATTTTTATAGTACTTTTTATTACGGGCCTTACCATATTACTATTAATAACTTTCTTTGTAATTGCACTCCCTACCACGTACCTTGTCATAGTACCTTTTAGTGTGAAACTTACCTATTCTGTTTCCCGGGACTAAACTTGTCAGTAGTGTCAAACTTGAAACTTGAATTCAGTTGAAAATAGAAATTTCTCCGATTCCGAAAGCAGTTGTACACAACACTTAGTCAGGCTGACATCATTGCAAGCATATACGTTTAGAAGTGCCTTATCAATTGAGCCGATGTAAACTTTCTTAGATACAACTTAAAAGTAGTTTTGTTCAGAAAATGTTAGAATTGCTCTTCTATGCATCGTAGTTCAGTACGGGATGCAACCGTGACGATCATTTACCGGTCAAAACCGATACTGGTACCTGCAGTGTGATTATCGGTTAACTACCATAATCGTAAATATAGTAAATACAGTACGCGTTTATTGCCGATTCTCAATGAAGGACATCTGTTTTTGAAAAAGTAAATATAGGGATGTAACAATACCATTTGTAGACACAAAAATTGCCAATTTTCACAATGAAAATTTACCAATACCAACCAATACTTTGCCTTAGTTATAACCAGCGAAGTTAGCTCTATCTGATAGGAGTGCGCATATAAAATACAAATACCAACAGAAAACATCCACAGTATTAGTGAGTATTCGTGAAAATTACCGTTTTTTTACCAATACTCACCAACACTGGGGATACTTTCTGTTGGTATTGGTATTTTATATACATACTCCTATCAGATATAGTTAACTTCGCTGGTTATAACTAACGCAAAGTATTAGTTGGTATTGGTAGATTTTCATTGTGAAAATTGGCAATCTTTATGTGTCTCCAAATGGCATTGTTACATCCCTAAGTAAATATATGCTATAAAGGTTGGCAAACGTAACATGGGGTTGGGGACCCGAATCTGCAATCTGTTTCTCTAAATGTTGGGATTTAGGTATGAATGGGAGTCAGTAAGTGAATGAGAGTGGCTGGTTATTGCTTGATAGAGTAGTAGCTTGACAATGAGGGTGATATGCACTATAGTGCGCTATTTTCCGTGTTTACACGCCTTGGTGCGAATTATTGTCTTGTGGTTTCTATGGTACAGGGTAGATTTAAATGCTAGTGATGATTTTAATTTGCAAAGGAGCTTTGGGTGTGGGTGTGTAGGCGGATGTTTAGATGATTGTGGGTGTTGGGTTTAGTGTGGAGCTACAAATGTGCAGGTGTCCAAGAAAGTGGTCATTTTTCTTTCTCAGTCACAATTTACGGTAGATCCTCAGACGAACGGAATATCCTAAACTACTTAGTTCGTATGAGTACCATGAGTTCGTTGACCTATGAGGATACCGAGAGTTCCGAGTTCCGTGGTTTGGTATACCTTTAATTCTTTTTAATCATTTGTTCAGTTCTGATATTTTCAAGGATTCAGAACACACGGAGTTCAGCTACGCCTCTTTTACTAGAGTTTGTTAGACTTAAGTTGGCTAGTTCTCTAAGATTACGATGGGTACGGATACAATATGCTAGTATACTGCGTTGTGATAGATGTTTCTATTGCTGTGGTTGTATTCAAGATCAGATGATATACCATCTAGATTTATCGAGGAAATATATATTGCTGTGATCAAGACTCAAAGTGAGGCTGGGCCTAAATATTTGATGTATGCCAAATGAGCGATACATTTTTCATCTTCTCAGCACGTTACATTTCTTAATAACAATGCGAAAATACAGGAACTTAATATTTGCTCATATTAAATCCCGCGTTGTATGCAGTGTAGATGTGTATACGTAGGAATGTATTCAAATTCAACAGAGTGATTTAAAATTTTTGGTGTTTTGTCATCCTAAGCTCACTTTAGATAATCTTGTGCACTATAAATCTAGGTGAATTCACTCTTTATGAGCGAGTCCAGGACATTATTAAGTATGACAGAGGGAATTTTGAAATTTTGAAATGTTAATTTCTGAGCAAAACCCAAGATGATGATAAATTGTACTTCTCGAATCGTGTCAATATCTAACTCAGCAGTCAAATGAAGCAGTTTTTATTGCTTTATTGTAGAAAAATCTTAATATTTAAGTTCACTACCATTACTGAAATTTTCTGTTTAGTTAATCGATAAAGTCGAACACATTTTACTCTGCTTAAAACACTGCCGACTGCCACATAAATGGATTCAGCCAGCAGTATATTCCGATTTTGGCGGTTGAAGAAATTTTAAAAAAATGTAGGTGTTACTCTATCACAGTGTTAGTATGAATTTGTTTGTGTCAATTTTCTGTTTGCGCCAGTATTCACATCATCAAGTAGAATAGAGACCGCATTCTAAGAAAGAACGCTTACGTACATGCACATTCTATATTTATACTCGTTTCTGTAATTTTAACTTGTATATGAGCTCAAAAACGTTTTTCAAATTGTAATATATCGAATTTCATAGAAAATTGTATACTATTTTGACAATTATAAGAATCTTCTCGCCTGCCAATCTAAGTGGGACATTAAATACTCAAAAACTTAAAGAAAAAGTAATCGTAGAAAACTGTCCATTGGTCAATTTTTGACTGAGGTAGTCAAGTATCAATCCATTCTATTTGATTGAGTTTTCAAAACTAAGGCTACAACTGAGCATATGCTATCTTTCTGTTGAATGTTATATTTTGAAGAATATAATTAATTACGATTACATCATGTTTTTCAAGCTAACTTTTCAGTTTGAGTAGTATTCATTGTTCTAGTTCCATCGTAAAGACGGAACTGATCCACATTAGAGCAGGCGAAATATTAAACCGTTTCAAATGTTCCTCAAGTTGTTTATGAGTTCAAGTCTTACTTCGCTTTGAAAATTTTTACTCACAAGGATTGTTTATCATAAGAATTTTTCATTAACAGGTAGTTATTCATACTTATCTGACTACAGACATTGCACGAATCAAGAAAAAAAAGTGTAATTTGTTGCAAAAAAAACTCAGAAAGAAAATAACGTCACAGGCAACAGTTCTCGATTTCATACACTGACAAAAAAAATACAATCGATGTCGAACCAGAAAGGATTCAGCTAGATTTGTATCTAATAGACTATGCATCTGACACTGAAAGAAAAACATCTGATCTTTGTAAAGATTGCGGGGCACTTGAAAATACTTTTGTCATCATTACCGATTCGTAAAAGAGCTTGAAGAGACATCGATAAAATGAGTTTAGATGCAAGGTTTCAAGTGTTTTTCTTTTTACATTTGAATAGAAAAAAAGCAACCATAGATTTTGCACTATCCTTTCAATAAAGATCCTTTACAAAAGCGGAAACCAGA